CTGGTGTTAAACTGGTTTTGTTCAACTGGTTTCTGATGTTAAACTGGTTTTGTTAAAATGGTTTCTGATGTTAAACTGGTTTCTGATGTTAAACTGGTTTAGTTAAACTGGTTTTATTAAAATGGTTCCTGTTAAACTGGTTTCTGATGTTAAACTGGTTTTGCTAAACTGGTTCCTGTTAAACTGGTTTCTGTTGAACTGGTTTGTGACGTGTGTGTACTGTAAACAGCCAATCAGAGCCTTTCTTACCTGATAGTCCAGTATTAATGGCGCTCTCTGTGATGAGTTTAAAGTTGTAAAAAAACAAAACATCACCATAAATAAATAAATAAATAAATATGTCAACAAATAAATAAATAAACAAACAAACAGGTAATAAATAACTGGAGACATAAATAAATAAACAGTAAACACGTCAGCTGTGTGATCAGTAATTTGGTGTTCATGCAGAGTGACGATGATGATGATGATGATGATGATGAAGGAGGTGAAGAGCCTCCTGTGGGTCAGTGTCCTCAGTGACATCACAGCGTGTGTGAGTGCTGATTGGTGGGTTTGGGGTCAGTTAAAGCTGCACTGAAGCAACAGGATGGGTACAGGAAACAATCAGATGGGAACTAAAGGTCAGTAAACACATCATGACTGAGGACAGGTACAGGTGTGTTCGAGGCTCTAACGGACAGAGTGTGTGTGTGTGTGTGTGTGTGTGTGTGTGTGTGTGTGTGTGTGTGACAGCTGAAACATGTTGACATGTGCAGCTTTAACCAGCGTATGAGTGTGTGTGTGTCTATTTGTCGTTGATTCGTAGTTTGAAGGACACCCGTCCAGCGAACTTGTCCCTGTCGCTGCCGTCGGCCAGAGTGTTGGAGTGAATCTTACACTCGATGTTGATGTCTGTGTTCAGAGAGGCGTTCAGGAACTTCACGGCCACCAGTGGCTGAGTGTAGTTCACCTGTGACATTGAACACATCACACACTGAGTGACATGACATCACTGCAGGACATCATCACAGTTCCTGAACACACCGTCCTCTAGTGTGTGTGTGTGTGTGTGTGTGTGTGTGTATTTGTGTGTGTTCTCTGTGTGTTACCTGAGCCTTCTTGCCGTAGTATGGGTAGTACATGAGGTTGAAGGTTCCGTTGGGAGGATAGTAGGCCAAAGGTCCAATCTTTTCAGTGTCCTCCCTCTGCACACACACACACACACACACACACACACACACTGATCAATACTTCAGATCAGTCATCAATAACCTGCAGTTCACACAGGAACATTAACCAGGAGAACTTCTGTTCATGTTCTATGTTCTGACTCTGTGGTTCTATGTTCTAAATCCAGTTCTATGTTCTTAATCTGTGGTTCTACGTTCTAAATCTGTGGTTCTTTGTTCTAACTCTGTGGTTCTACGTTCTAAATCTGTGGTTCTATGTTCTAAATCCAATTCTATGTTCTAACTCTGTGGTTCTACGTTCTAAATCTGTGGTTCTATGTTCTAAATCCGGTTCTACGTTCTAAATCTGTGGTTCTACATTCTAAATCTGTGGTTCGATGTTCTAACTCTGTGGTTCTACGTTATAAATTTGTGGTTCTATGTTCTAACTTTGTGATTCTATGTTCTACGTTCTCAATCTGTGGTTCTATGTTCTAACTCTGTGGTTCTATGTTCCACAACCTTCATTTGTTCTTACCCACTCATTTTTCTCCACTTTATACCTCTGATGATGGAGGGATAAAAAAATGGAGACAAACACATTCAGAGAGACGGACTCAAATTCAGAGAGACAAATTCAGAGAGACAGATTCAGAGAGATGGATTCAGAGAGACGGACTCAAATTCAGAGAGACAGATTGAGAGAGACAGACTCAAATTCAGAGAGACAGATTCAGACAGATTCAGAGAGACAGATTCAAATTCAGAGAGACAGATACATACCTTGGCTCCACAGATGACATAAGGAGACTGACCGTCCTTCCCCGGCAACATACCAATGACCTGTAGAGAAAGACAGGTGGACAGACAGGTCAGAACGTGTTTCAGTGTCTCCATTAACAGAGAACCAAATGATCCGTCAGCAGGAACGTCATGAAAACCAATCAGAGTCAGTCTGGTTCTCAATGGCTGACGTACCTGTCACTACGGTCCGCCTACAGACCGGGTTCAGTCTGGTCTCAGGGTCAAAGGTCAACATACCCGTCACTACGGTCCACCCACAGACCAGGTTCAGTCTGGTCTCAGGGTCAAAGGTGGACGTACCCGTCACTACGGTCCACCTACAGACCAGGTTCAGTCTGGTCTCAGGGTCAAAGATGGACGTACCCGTCACTACGGTCCACCTACAGACCAGGTTCAGTCTGGTCTCAGGGTCAAAGATGGACGTACCCGTCACTACGGTCCACCTACAGACCAGGTTCAGTCTGGTCTCAGGGTCAAAGATGGACGTACCCGTCACTACGGTCCACCTACAGACCAGGTTCAGTCTGGTCTCAGGGTCAAAGATGGACGTACCCGTCACTACGGTCCACCTACAGACCAGGTTCAGTCTGGTCTCAGGGTCAAAGATGGACGTACCCGTCACTACGGTCCACCTACAGACCAGGTTCAGTCTGGTCTCAGGGTCAAAGATGGACGTACCCGTCACTACGGTCCACCCACAGACCAGGTTCAGTCTGGTCTCAGGGTCAAAGATGGACGTACCCGTCACTACGGTCCACCCACAGACCAGGTTCAGTCTGGTCTCAGGGTCAAAGATGGACGTACCCGTCACTACGGTCCACCCACAGACCAGGTTCAGTCTGGTCTCAGGGTCAAAGATGGACGTACCCGTCACTACGGTCCACCCACAGACCAGGTTCAGTCTGGTCTCAGGGTCAAAGATGGACGTACCCGTCACTACGGTCCACCCACAGACCAGGTTCAGTCTGGTCTCAGGGTCAAAGATGGACGTACCCATCACTACGGTCCACCCACAGACCAGGTTCAGTCTGGTCTCAGGGTCAAAGATGGACGTACCCGTCACTACGGTCCACCTACAGACCAGCTTCAGTCTAGTCTCAGGGTCAAAGATGGACGTACCCATCACTACGGTCCACCCACAGACCAGCTTCAGTCTGGTCTCAGGGTCAAAGGTGGACATACCCGTCACTATGGTCTGCCAACAGACCAGGTTCAGTCTGGTCTCAGGGTCAAAGATGGACGTACCCGTCACTACGGTCCACCCACAGACCAGGTTCAGTCTGGTCTCAGGGTCAAAGGTGGACATACCCGTCAGTACGGTCCACCCACAGACCAGCTTCAGTCTGGTCTCAGGGTCAAAGATGGACGTACCCGTCACTACGGTCCACCAACAGACCAGGTTCAGTCTGGTCTCAGGGTCAAAGGTGGACATACCCGTCAGTACGGTCCACCCACAGACCAGCTTCAGTCTGGTCTCAGGGTCAAAGATGGACGTACCCGTCACTACGGTCCACCCACAGACCAGGTTCAGTCTGGTCTCAGGGTCAAAGGTGGACATACCCGTCACTACGGTCCACCTACAGACCAGCTTCAGTCTAGTCTCAGGGTCAAAGATGGACGTACCCGTCACAACGGTCCACCCACAGACCAGGTTCAGTTTGGTCTCAGGGTCAAAGGTCAACGTACCCGGTTGAGTTTGATGAGGATGCAGGGCTGACCTCTGCTGTAACCATAGAAACGATCTGAAATCCCAGAACACTCCTCCAACATGGTCCGATTGAACTGACAGGAACGCTTAGGATTGTTCCTGACCTGCAGAGAGGCAGACAGACATAGAGTGAGACAGGTGAAGAGTGAGACAGGTGGAGACAGACAGGTGTAGAAACAGACAGGTTACCTCTCCACTGTCCTCTTGAATGAAGTATTGATCTGGTGGGCAGTTATCATTGGTCTGAACCTGATAGCTGTCGTTGTACGCTGTAGGCACACAGACAGGTGGACAGACAGACAAGTAGAGAGTCAGACGCCAAACTGTACACATGAATTAATTACGATGTGTTACATCACATCCTGTAATATTCTGATTGTTTAACCAGCGTCTTACGGGACAGGAAGTTGTTGAGGTTCTGAATGAAACCGTCCCAACTCTCAGTGTCCGACACCGAGAAACTGATCTCCAGCTGGTCCCCCTTCGGACGAATCATCATCCCTGAAACATGACAACACACGTCCTCGTTAACCAATGACAGGCTGAGCCTCGTTAACCAGTCACAACTGAGTCTCATTTACTAATGACAGGCTGAGCCTC